TACGGAGTACATCTCTTGTGTGTGTTGTGTGTGTTGCTGTGGTGTCCACTACTGGTACGACTTTTTGGTGGTGCGAACCTACAGCTAGTTCAAGTGATCAACCACGGCAGGTTTCATTTCATCTGCACTTAACTTTACAAGATCGATCATCGTAGATTTTAAACTAATGACCAGATCATCGTAGATTTTAAACTAATGACCAGGGACAATCTGGCTCATATATACGTATTGAATATTTTGCTTTCTTTCCCATACAGGGACAGCCGATTCTACAGGGGTTGCTTGTTGATCTATCCTAATGGCAACAGAGATGGTCAGTTCTCCGGTCGGGGCCACTGCAGAACTGACCATCTGTACTGCCATTAGGATTGATCAAAGCAACTTGTAGAATCGACTGTCCTTCATGCTCAATAGGAAAGAAAAGCAAAATACTATAAATACATATAGGAGTCAGAATGTCCCTGTTCATCAGTTTTGCAAGTGCAGAGGAAATCAGAACCTGGTGAGGTTGAACTAGCTGTAGGATTGATAGCTTCTTAATGTAACGATATGTAATCCTCCTGTTTATTTGAGAAAAAAGGTTGCAGGGCTGTGACAAACACCAACAAGAGTGGTACAATATTTGAGAGCGACATCGTGGAAATTTGTCATGAGTGATATGCACACAGGAAGACTTTGAAGACTTTGGAGTAGAGGGCAACAAGCACTGAGGTCGACATATGCATGTATCACATATCGGAGACCGCCAGAATTAACTGATACATAGACACCTCTAGGAACGCGTCAGACATGGGCCAGAATTATTCATCCGTAAGACCAACCGGAGTCAAAGTCGACGGTGACTAAACGTAGAAATCTTGGCTGGAAAGCTCGGAGCAAATAGCAGAACCCGAGGCTGACGGCAAGCCCGCAGCTATGCGTACCTAGTGTTATGGGTAGGTTACCACGACAAGCAGGGCCGGGGCCACAATTTGGGCATACCCGTCTTTAAGCCGACAAACTAGAACATTGGATAGGCAATACTAAAAAGAATAAAAGAATTGGGGCAAATGTTAGGACACTAATCCGACCCTAAATTGTATAAATTGCTATTGCTATGAGAGATTAACTAATCCATCAGTTTGTACTCTCGGATAGGTTAGAATCTTAGAAAACATAAGCATAAGAAAACAAAAACCAAACAAAAGGCTAGTGAGAGGGTAGCCAAAAAGGAAAACAACCCCACAAAGACACAAAGAGAAGAAGAAGAAACATAAGAGGAGGAAAATATTAAATTTTGTTTAATACCGCTAACTATTAAAAATTATTTATGCTGAATTGTGTTTTTTTCTCTTTATTTATTTTCTAATACAATAGACATAATAAATAATTCATAGTATATTGTTTTCACAACAGACTAGCTTCAAAAATGGTGTAGCTATGTAACTTGTATTCAAATTTACTTAGGTTATTTTCATAATAACATACGTAGTTTAAATGAATATTTGGGGCTACTTTAGACTATTTTTTACAATAGCAGATGTGGGGAATTAGATAAATATCTAGGGGTTACTTTTTGCTACTTTCAGGAGGTGAGTAATATTGGGATTGTGGGTTACTTTAGGCAAATCTTTTATAATAATGACAAGGTTTGGTAATTTATATATAGATTTTTGGTGTTAGTTTATGCTATTTCCACAATGGAAGATGTGGGTAAGTTTGAAAAAAATATAATATAACAGTCATAGGCAATAATGATTAGAATGTCACAAATTATAATTAATGGCTCGATGTTTCAGACTTCTTTTGAAAACTTCTAGATTATCTCACTACTACATAAATGATTTCGCGAGACACTACCCAAACATTAACGCAGACAGTCACAAAATGCATCCGTCTCCTAAAATACGTGAGGATTTTCGGAGGTAGTCATTTTATTTACGGAGGCGTTTACAATTGCTTGTCCCACAAAATGGATTTACGGAGGCAGATATTTTATTTAGTAGGTGGTCGAAAATTGCCTGCCTCCTAAAACAGATTTACGCTTGTGGTTGAAAATTGCCCGGCTTTGTTAATAAGGCCGAGCCCTTTTGTTATTTGCTTGGCGCATATTGGCCCGATATCGTACTCGGAGTATATATAGGGACACTTAGGGTTTTCATCTCATTCTCACCCCTCTCCTTCCATTCCTGTGTGGTGCCCTCTCTCTCTCTCACTCTAATGCGGCGGCCCATCCCCTGATGGCGATGCTCTATTAGAGGACGTGGGGCGCCACATCCACCTAGGTGACAGTGTGCGGGGCATTAGCTCACGGGCCGATAGCGGCGCAGGCGAGGCAACCTCCACCACAGCGGCAGCCCCAACGAGCGGCGGCGCGCGACGACCCCGGCCTGTGGATACAGTGGAGGGCGGCCTGGACATGTGGATCTGGTGGAGGGCGGCCCCAACATGATCTATCTGGTGGAGGGTGGCCCGAGCCGACGGATCTAGTGTAGGGCGCCACGCGTGGTGGATCTGGTGGACGGTGGCCTCGACGCGTGAATCTGGTCGAGGGCAACACCCACCGATGGATCTGGCTCCTTCCTCCACCAATGGCGGATCTAGTGCCCCATCCTCCACCATCGGTGGATCGGGCGCCCCTTCCTCACCGCTAGCAGTGGATCCGGTGCGATGGCGCGGTGGATTGGGATTAGGGATGGGAACGGGCTCTCCGGTGGTCTTGTTGGGTTTTGTGGTTTTTAATCCATTAATAGAGGCGGGCATTATAAGAAACCCACCTTTGTAGTTTCATTTTTGCAGGCGTGCAAGGAGGCCGCCTACGTTGTTCTTGATTAACCCAAACGTTGGGGCCATCCTTGGCTCCGTACACCCCCTCCCTACTCTGCATGGATTTCCAAAGGACGACCTTGTGATCCAGTGCATGGCTGCAGGCATACTCTCTTGTCCCATCCAGACTAGCCTCTCTATTCATTAGCCTTATGATGTTGTTACTCATCTTTAGAATTTTAACAGACTAGATGTTTGACTGCATGTTTAAATGAGAGGAATAGTTAGCTAGGGAGATCTAGGCCTCGTTTGGCAGCGCTCCACTTCACTAGTGAAGCTGTTTTTCTTATTTCAGCTCCACGAACAGCTCTCTCGGTGGAGCTAGAGCCGTTTTGGTACCCCATTTGGCAAAATGGCTCCTTATGCTAGACAAAAGAGATAAAAGACCAAAATGCCCTGCATTTCATGCGCTTGGTCCTTCCCCAATCCCCATTCCCTTCGTGTGAGACCTCCTTGCCCAATGGCCAACTCCCCGAACTCGCTCATGCTCCCCTGGCGGCCATACGCGCAATCCCAGTGGCCCGGCGGATGTGCCCTCCATACTCTGGCGTCCGGTGGCAGGGCTCCGGTGGGCGTGCCTTGGTGGCCACACACTATCTCCACCTCTTCATGCGCGCCCTCTCCGTCGGTGGCCAAGCGCCTCTCTCGACGCGACTGAGCGCCCGTGAGCCTCGACATGTTTTTAGGGGCAAGGTGCAGCCGGGTGAAGCCACTATTTTTGGCTTTACCCCTCATCTATCCTTTGTCTAGCATGTTTTTAGGGGCTTCACAAAATGAGCCATTTCATTTTACCCCGTTTGGCAGAAAATGGATCCAAACAGCTTCTGAAGCTAGTGGATAAGCCCTCCAAATGGGGAGCTAATGTGGACCTTTATTTGAGGAATAGCTGACCTAGACCTTCATTCTCCTCCCTTTACCTATTAGCTCCGACTCCACCATGGGTCGTGAGATTTATAATGGCAAGGCGCGATGTTGTGCGGAAGCCACCGTGACCGTGAGAGATGGGAAGGAGGGATAGAGGAAGCAACCACGATGCTGCCTTGTGGGAGAGGGAGATGCAAAAGAGAAGACTGAAGAGGATGGATGCTCTGCCTATTAGCTCTAGACATGCGCGATATTTCGAGATGGACACAGTTATCGCGCGACGGGTCTCGCTCCAATGTGAGCGCGCGCGCGCGCGACCCCTCCCACCACTACCTCCAACCATCGCCCGAGCCCATCGGCGACATGCTGCGGCGTTACACTGCCCATCCTCCACCCCACCCGTTGACCCCGCTCTCTGCTAATCCCTCGCATCCATCAACCGGCAGCTGACAACTCGCCCCCACCCCTGCTCTACACAAACCACTCCTCCACCACCATGGCCGGCAACATTCTCGCTACCCCGCCCACCCAACGCCAGACCAACTTATCACCGGAGGTCCAGAACCAGGGGAGATGACTAGACCATAACCCGTCTCTGGCGGAGGCGGCGACATTGGCGCCGGCACGGCGGTCGTGCAGTGTTTCAACTACATGGCCATCACGCCGTGTTGCAACCATGTCACGTGTTAGATCGAGTTTGCGTTTCCAGGCTGAAGAGTATTGACATGCGCGAGGAGCGGATGACATGGTCGCTCTCGCGTAGACACACACAGACCAACGTCGACTGTTTCTGTTACCCGTGCGTGGGCCGAGGAAGTGGATCAGGCTTTTATGCATCTGACCCCAGCTAGCAGCAATCTAGGTGCTGTAGGCCCATTTACCCATTTGCACACATATCTTATATTTTCCCAGGTGACCATCAACTGGTAGCTGATTTAAAAGAAAACTTTTTACTAATAATTAAAAATCTTTCTAGTAGCATATTATAAATAAACTTTGTGCTCTCAACTTCAAAAGTTTGCACATCCTTCGCCCATGTTTCAATCAGACGATCAGCATATGCTCTCATGAAACCCTCCCAACGCTCAGCGATGCAGGTACGCTCACATTAGTTACATGTGTGGATGGCCCCACGAGAAACTTTTTTTTTTCAAAAGATCCGTTACCGGCTTTCATTGAAATAAGAGAAGAGCAAATTATATTCCCTATGTGGCCAAAGTTGCGCCACACCTATTTTGCTTGGGACTCAGGTGCAGAGTCCCTCGTCACCCCTGAAGCCACAAGACATTGAATTACATGAAGAAAAAAACACAACTAGCTAGTTCTACTGACTAGGCCGCGGCCGAAGCCGGCAGCAGCATGTCTAAATCCCTATTCCCAGCGAATCTCCAAGTCCGCGCTTCATCTTGAATGCTGTACATAATTTGCCAGACAGTCCTAGTTTCCTTCCTGAAGACGAGGTTGTTCCTCTCGCGCCAGATTTCCCATATCGTTAGAGTGACCATCGACTGCAACCCCGGTCTCAATATTGATGGATCAGCAGCAGCTACCATATCAGTGAACCAGTCGCCGATAGTGGAACTGTTGTTCCAGTTTGCTGGTATCAAGGACGCTACCTGAATCCAGTTCGCCACCTCTTCCCAGACTTTCCTTGTTAAATGACACTCGCAGAACAGGTGCCGAGTAGTCTCAAGGTTTCTGATACATAGCTGGCAAAAAAACTCATTTGCCATCCTCGGCGTTGCAAGCGCGCTGCAGTCCAGATTCTGTCCTGCAACATGAGCCATATGAAGAATTTGCATCTCGGTGGCGTCTTTGTCTTCCACGTCTGAACTTCTGCCACACATTTAGTCTTTCCCTCAAACTGCACAGAGTATGCAGACTTGGCTGTATATTTGCCATCGGCTGTGAGAATCCAGGAGATGGTGTTTTCCAGTGACTCTATTAGGACGATATTTTCCATCTCCTCCCATAGCCTGATGTACTCCACAATAAGCTGCTGATTCAAATTGTGATCAATATTCGCAATCCATCAGTTGTTTGTAATCGCATCCACCACCGTCCTGTTTTTCCCCTTGCTATGCTTATGCAGCCCTGGAAAGCGCACGGCCAGTGCCTCGCCATGCAGCCAGCGCGAGGTCCAGAAGGCTGCCATGCGACCATTCCCCGAGCTTACAACAGTGGCTGCACTAAAAAGCGCTCTGTTATCATTGGAGATCGGTAACTGCAAGCCCTTCCATGGTTTTTGTCCGCTATCCCATTGGAACCACAGCCATCTCAGCCTTAGAGACCTACTGAAACACTCCAGATCCTTGATGCCTAGGCCACCATTGGGTTGGGGCATTCAGAGTTTCAGACCCTTGGCCAAGCCACCTTACATTTGCCACCAGTGAGTTCTCCATCTCCTGCCCATAGGAATCTTTTCCTCAGCTTATATATCTCTTTTAAGAATTTATTTGGGGCCTTGACTACTGTCAGCAGGTAGACAGGCAGTGAACTGAGGACTGACCTTACCAATTCTCACCGTCCTTCCACGCTGACAAGCCCTCCTTGCCACCCTTCTAGTTTTCCTTTTGCTCTGTCCTGTATGTATTGCAAGTGCACTGTCCTCATTCTTCCGAGTGTTAGCGGCAGTCCTAGGTATTCAATTGGGAAAGAAACTCTCCTCCCTGTGAAATGGCAGAGGACTTCCTCCATGTCGATACCTGCGCATCTGATAGTGGCAACTGAGCTTTTGGCCATATTTATCCTCAGTCCAGTGGCATCCCCAGGCCTTCATGATTTCCATGATGCAATTGATGTCTGTTTTGACAGGGTTGGTGAGTCTCACAGCACTGTCAGCATATAGAGATAGTCGCAGGCTTGCTTACCGGCCCTTTAGTGGCGTCAAGTGTCCTTCCTCAGTCGCAATGTCGAAGATCCTGCTCAGTATGTCCATTGACAGTTTAAAGAGGTAGGGTGATAGCAGGCCATGCATCGGGAATGATAGTGGTGAACGAGCGTGAAAGGACCGAGGAATGTCATGATACACTATGTCTAGGTATATAATAAAAGCAATATATCTAGAAATGTTAAAATATCTTATAATTTGGAATAGAGAGAAAACTACATTTTATAGGCGGACCCAAGATAATCTTATATTTGCAACACACACAAACAGTTGAACTTTTTTATGTACATCAAGGTAGTACAAGAAAGTGGAAATCCTTCAGGGGTTTAACGTGCTGGACATCTTGAGCTTCCTTGCCAAATAACTGTGATCTTGCAAACACAACATCATTGTGATTGGACAATCATGGACGCAGGCATTAGTTTTTAATATTAACGGTAGTGTGGATCGCTTTTGTTTCTGAACCCAATAGTCGACGATCGAGCCCTGCAACTGGGCAGGCATGTGCACAACCCACGAGCTCATGAACTCATTGTTAGCACCTATCCATCCCAGAACTGGAGCCTTCTTGTCCAGCCGTTGCTTACGGCATTTTCCAGCTTTGTCCTTCCTAGTAGTTGCTCTCCATGAGGTCTTCTCCACCCGAAGGTACGCGCTTTGATGCTTGGACTTCCACAACATCTGATATGATGTAGCCTCCACATTCCTACTAAGGCAATCTACTGCTTTTGGCACCGTGATCTCGCCCAGCTGTTCAAAGGAAATGTTTGCATACATGCCAGATTGCTTGGCTTCATCGTTGATTATCTCTGACACTGAACCTCTGACAGTAGGTGACAAATCTTCAAAAGAGGCATGAGGCCAGAAGTGTACTCCAAGTTTCAGACGTGGAAAGTCTCTCATGGGCCATGTTTGGCTTTCGCCATCGATCACTGCGCTCTGCCTATTGTTCCCAACTGACAGTGCAGCATGTCCTAGCAAATACACTTGGAAAACTGGTTCCAAGTATACATCACATGGCAATGATTTTGAAGAGGAGCTCTGTGCATGGGGATGGTCTTGTTGTTGACAACAAAATGGGTTTGGTCGAAACCATTTAGAACACATGGTGCGAAGTCTATTCTGTTGTTCATCACAGCCATAAATTGAATAAGCATCAAACACCCAACACAAGTCTTGCGTTGGCATCTGGGTCAGCTTTGTCTTCACAGTCTCGGCTGTTGAGCTCAAGTACGGTATGAACAGCTGCAGGCATCTGACTACAACCCCAACTATGTCAGTACTCTCAGAGAGCCGTAAGCTGAGGGAAAGAAGGAAATTATTCTGTGGCACATTGCCATCTTCAAGTAAGAATACCAAGCTCCCACCCATCCCATTGTTGGGTAGACTAAAGGGCTGTAGAATAAGTGAGAGATGTTGGCCCCCACGAACAAAGCAATACTTTGTTCCTTTGCCAGCGAGAAGATGTCGTATAAGAGGCACAGAGAACATGTATCTGCATGGTGTGCCACCAAGCTCCACGTACCTCAAGAACTCGGTCGCACCGTCTGCAAAACGCTCGAATCGCCGTACGGCGGTGGATCCTGTCAGCTTGTTGTTGTTACCGCTGCTAAAGATTGACGAAAGAAATGACATAGCAGTATGAGCAACCCTCATAGGAAAGGAGGATCTCTGTGTTGCTTGTTGCACTTCTTCCTCTTCTTGGAATCGCTGCCTGCACTGGCGCAGAGTGTGGTCGCACTCCTGCGCGGCACGCTTGAGCTTGCTCCGCCAGCGTCGCAGTGGCGCACTGGTGACGTTCCACATGTTGGATGTCTCAAGGGCAGCCTCTAGCTTGATGTGCGCCATCTCCATCCTCTCTATGTGCTCCTTTGCATCTGACTTCTCCGCATAACCCTCCTTGATTCTTGATAAGACTTCGTTAACAATCTCCTGGGCCACCGCAGAACCGACCATCTCTGCTGCCATTTAGACTGATCAAAGCAACCTATAGAATCGGTTGTCCTGCATGCACACAAAGAAAGCAAAATATTGCATACATATATGAGTCAGACGATCCTTGTTCACCAGTCTAAAATCTATGATTGATCCTGAAAACTGCAAGTGCGGAGAGGAAATCAAAACCTGCCGTGGTTGAACACTTGATCTAGCTGTTGTAGGGTCTCAGAAAGTCGACACCACAGCAACTCAGACACAAGAGTTGGGGAATCTATCCTGCCCGGCCGGCCAGTTGTGACCATACATATTGAGAGGTATCATGGAAATTTATCAAGAGTGATACACACGCAGGAGGACTTTGTACCAGTGAGGTTGATGTACAGATCACATCACAAAGACCGCCAGATCCGCAAGTGAAAGATTATATTACTTTAAGTACACCACAAATACTTGTACAGATCAAATCGCATAGACTGCTAGAGTGGAGTGATATATATAGACACACATTGGAAGTTAGCTAGGAACTCATCGTGTGTGAACAGCATGTCTCATCGTGTACTACAATTCCATACACAGGACCAAGCAGTCTAGTCGACGGTGGACTAATAAACGTAGAATATATAGAAGATCTAGAGGGACACCAAAAGCAATGGACCCCAAATTTTCATCCCAATTTCAAATGTGCAAAAAATAGAAAACATGACTGGTCAGGATAACAATAAATAAATACAAGTGGGTTGAATGCAGAAATTGGACCAAGACGGAACATGGTTTACTCCGAGTGTTTTCACCCCTGATAACAATATCCCACCGAAAGTTACTCTACTTTATTTTTTGAGGCAAACCAGGGCGGGGAATACTAAATATTTATTAAAATAAGGTGAGCAGTAAGTTTACATACGGTTCAGGAAACAAAGAAAGAATAAAGTTAGTGTATTTCTTATGGTCATGTGGATACAAAATTATACAAGGGTCGCACTCAATCTCAAAGGAGTCAACCTTGACTCCCACTATAATGCCCCTAGATCAACCTTTCGGTTGGATCCATTACCACTTTCCCAATCAACTACCTCAACCAGCAACAAGAACAAAAGATAGCCGCAGCCCGCCATATGTGGGAAGGCCACCAAATTGTGGCTAACTAGCACCATAAGCACCAAACGATCAATGAAAATAGATTGCAATCAACAAAGTTAACCTAATTTTGGTACCATACTGAAGAATAAATAGGGTCAAGAGGATTTTGGAGATGTAGGGCTTACGAGGAGAAGAGCTATCAATAGCAAGTTCCGAAATTCTTCAACAATCCTTTCAGTGTCCTTTTATTTATTAGTTTACAGTTTTCACCTTTTAGTCCCTACAAATTAAGTAATTACATAACAAGGCTTACACATACATACACACCAAAGGAACACACGAGATTGTCTAACAGGCAAAATATAAACCAATCTGACTTTAATTCGGTCATGACAAGCTTCCTCTAGTAGAACTTAATGCCCGAATGACACATACTTAGTAACATAAAATCCTTTAGGCATTGAACATGCTGCATGATTTGATCTTCCTTGCTAAAGATCTGTGATATTGCGAAGAAATCAACATGATTGGACAATGGTGGACACAGGGATTATTTTTAAATAATAATGGCAGCGGCAATCGCTTTTCTTTCTGAACCCAGTCTATGACTGTGTCCTGCAAGTGGGCAGGCACGTGCAGAACCCACGAGCTCAAGAAATCTTTGTTCGCATTTGCCCATCACTGTACCTTCTTGCCCTGTTGCTGTTTATAACGTTTTCCACCCAAGCCTCTCCCAGTGGTTAGTCTCCATGAGATTTTCTCGACTTGAAGGTATGCGCCGCAATGCTTGGACTTCCAAAGCATCTGATACGAGATAGCTGCCGCACTCCGTAGCAGAGGCTCAAGTCGCCCAACTTTTCAAAGCAAATTTTTGCATACAAGCCATGTTTCACGGCCGCCCCATTGATCATTTCAGTTGCCGAACCCTCAACTCCAGATGACAAATCTTCATATGGGGCATGGGGATAGAAATGCACTCCAAGTTTCATATAAGGAAATTCACTCATGGGGCTTGTTTAGCTTTCACCATCGGTGACCGCTCTTTGCACTGTTCCCAACAGAGAGTGCGACATGGCCTAGCAAATACACTTGGATAACGGGTTCCAAGTATATTTCACAGGGCAATGATTCTGACGATGAGATTTTGGAATTGTAGCTCTGGGAGTAGTGATTATCTTGTTGCTGGCAACAAAGAGGGTTCAGTCGAAACCATTTGGACCAGATGGTGTGAAGATAGTTCTGGTGTTCAACACAGTGGCAAAAAACCGGATAAGCATCCAGACACCCAGCACAAGTCTTGTGTTGGTACCTGAGTGAGCTTTGTCTTCACAGTCTCGACTACGGTTGAGCTTAAGTAAGGTATGAACAGGCGCAGGCATCCGACTGCAATCCTAACTATGTCTGTACTTTCCAAGACCCGTAAGATGAGGGCAAGAGCGAAATTATTCTCAGGTGTATTGGTATCTCTAAGTAAGAATACTAGGCCAACCTACATCCCATGCTCTTGATTACAGGGTTGTAGAAGAAATGAGAGATGTTGACCATGGCTAACAAAGCAATACGTTGCGTGGTGTTCCTCCAAGCTCCACGTACCTCAAGAACTACCTCGCACCATCAGCAAACCGCTCCAATCGACGGACAGGCGGTGGATATTCTGAACTCGTCATCGTTACCACCGCTAAACATTGACGAAACAACTGACATGGCTGTATGAGCGACCCTCTTAGGAAAGGAGGAGCTCCATAGCCCTTCTTTCACTTCTTCCTCTTCTTGCAAGCGCTGCCAACACCTGCGCAGAGTGTTGTCGCACTCCTGTGTGGCAAGCCTGAGCTTGATTTGCCAGCGCAGCAGTGGCGCGCTGGTGATGTTCCACTTGTTGCACGTCTCAAGGGCAGCTTCTAGCTTGATGTGCGCCATCTCCATCCTCTCTCTGTGCTCCTTTTCATCTGACTTCTCTGCATAACCCTCTTTGATTCTTGATAAGACTTGGTGCAGAACTGACCGTCTCTGCTGCCATTAAGATTGATCAAACAAACCTGCTGTAGAATCGGTTGTCCTGCATGCAGAGAGAGGAAGAAAATTATTCGGTACATATATATGAGCCAGATTGTCCCTGTTCATCAGATTAAAATCTATAATCTATCTTGTAAAGTGCAAGTGCGGAGAGGAAATCAAAACCTGGCGTAGTTGAACACTTGAACTAGCTGTAGTGTCACAGAAAGTCGTACCAGCACTATGACACTCGACAGTCTATCCTGCTCAGCCAGCCAGTTGTGAATTGTGATCATACATATAGAGAGGTACTTCCTCGCCAAAAAAAAATATAAAGAGGTACTTTATATGTGAGAGGGACATCGCAGAAATTTTTCAAGAGTGATACGGACGCAGGACTTTTGTGTAGAGGGCAAAATTAAACTCTGAGGTTGGCATAGAGTGCATACCAGCTGACTGTAAGTGAAGATGTACAGAGGTTGATGACATAATTGTGCCAAGCTCCTCCCAGGATGCAGTTTTGGGCTTGCTAAATGATCTGAAGTCTAAGTTCCAAACCCCGAGGTAAGTCGTGTGACGGGTTTTGCAGGTGCGCAGCAGACGGTCAGTGATGTCATCGTTGGCCGGCGGTGGGATACGGGCAAACCATGGCGTGGGCCGCTTCTGCCGAGACGAATTTCTCCGCGGATCACCATTGCTGATGCCATGGCTAAGGCGGTGATGGTCCGGGGCTGCATCGGAACAGCGACAGCACCTTCTCAGGCTCCGCTGGTCACGGTCCATACTTCGTCTACGACACCGGTGGTCCACGTAGAGATCCGGAGAGTACGTGATTCACGTACATTACACGATTCAATTTTTGAATACGCAGGCTACTCTGGATGCGTCACTCTTCGACTAAAGAAAGGTAGAGGACGGTTGGACAAGATTAATTTTCCTGTTTCTCTCGGTTGCCTTCTTTCTCGTCCAGGACACCGTCGACACAGGTTTGCGCCGCCAACCATGCACTTTGTGGCGATGAATATGCACACAGGAAGACTTTGAAGACTTTGGAGTAGAGGGCAACAAGCACTGAGGTCGACGTATGTATCACATCTTGGAGACCGTCAGAATTTATTGATATATAGACACCTCTAGGAACGCATCAGACATGGGCCAAAATTATTCATCCGTAAGACCAACCGGAGTCAAAGTCGACGGTGACTAAACGTTGAAATCTTGGCTGGAAAGCTTGGAGCAAAAAGCAGAACCCGAACCCGACGGCATGCATACCAGTGTCACGGGTAGGTTACCACGAGTCCACGACAAGCAGGGCCGGGGCCCCAATTTGGGCATAGGGAGGGTCTTTAAGCCGACAACAATAATCATACATAATGAAATGCATGCATGGATAGAATATAGACAACAATTAAATAAACATTTGTGTTATGATACATAAGACAGCTGAAAAACTTAACATAAAAAGGGGAACAAAATTAACTAATTTGCCTTAGGTATCTAGCCTTCATCCAATTAATCTAATTCTTGAACTAGAAATAAATCATGATAATAGTAGAAACAAAGAAAATCAGAAATATAACAAAAAGAGTCCTAAATAATACATATGCCATTGAAGATTGATTCGTAGTGAGTGCAGTGTAGTCCTTTATTTGAGGAATATCTGATCTAGACCTTCATTTGCCCCCCTCTTCCTATTAGCTCTGACTCCACCACTAGTGTGCGATTTATAATGGTAAGGCGTGACATTGTGCGGAAGCTACCGTGACCATGAGAGATGGGAGGGAGGAAGGAAGCAACCACGGCGCTGCCTTGTGGGTGAGGGAGACTCAAAAGAGAAGACTGAAGAGCATGGAGGCTTTCTAGACCTACGAGATATTTCCGGAAGGACAGAGTTATTGCACAACGGGTCTCGCTCCCACGTGAGTGCGCGACCCCGCCCTCTGCCACCTCTCACCACTGCCCACGGCCGCCAATGACTTGCCGCCACGCTGCAACGCCCGCCCTCCGCCCCCGCCCGTCAACCCCAACCTTTGCTAATTAGCCACCTCCATCAATCGGTCAGCGACGAGACTCCCCTGCCCCTACCCGCCCAAACTGCCACCTCCACCACCAAGGCTGGCAGCACTCCGCCATCTTGCAGCACCGCCTACCCAGCACGACCCACCACCAGGCCAACCTGCCACCGGAGATCTAGAGCCGAGGAAGACGGCCAAACCCTAACCCACCTTCGGTGGAGGCGGCACCGCTGGCGCCGGCACGGTCGCACAATGTTGCCTGTTAGAGTTTCCATTTCCAGACTGATGAGCATTGACATGCCACGAGGAGCGGTTGACATGGTCGCTCGCATGTAGACACAGACGAATGAACGTCGACTGTTTTAGATACCAGCGTGCAAGGCGGGAAGTGGATCACGCTTTTACGCATCTGACCCATCTAGCAGCAATCTAGGTGTTGTAGGCCCATTTACCCGTTTGCACGCATATCTTATATTTTCCCTGGTGACCATCGGCTAGTAGCTGAGTTAAAAGAAACTTTTTACTAATAATTAAAAACTTTATAGTAGCATAGTATAAATAAACTTTGTACTCTCAACATCAGTACTTTGTAGATCCTTCGCCCATGTTTCAATCAAACGATCAGCATAGGCTCTCATGAAACCCTCCGTACGCTTTGCCATGTACACTCACATTACTTACATGTGTGGATCAGCCCCACGAGAAACCGGCCACACATCGGGAACGAACATGGCCCACGAGCATGAAAGGACAGGAATGTCATGATACACTATGTCTAAAAATATAATAAAAACAATAGATTTAGAAATGCCAAAATGTCTTATAATTTGGAATAGATCAACCCTAGATATTATATTTGCAACACACACCAACAGTTGAACTTTTTTATGTACATCAAGGTAGTACAAGCAAGTGGAAATCCTTCAGGGGTTTAACGTGCTGGACATCTTGAGCTTCCTTGCCAAATAACTGTGATCTTGCAATGACAACATCGTGATTGGACAATCATGGACGCAGGCATTAGTTTTCAATAACAACGGTAGTGTGGATCGCTTTTGTTTCTGAATCCAATAGTGAACGATCAAGCCCTGCAACTGGGCAGGCATGTGCACAACCCACGAGCTAATAATGAACTCACTGTTAGCACCTGTCCATCCCTGAACTGGCACCTTCTTGTCCTGCCGTTGCTTACAGCGTTTTCCAACTTTGTCCTTCCTAGTAGTTGCTCTCCATGAGGTCTTCTCCACCCGAAGGTACGCGCTTCCATGCTTAGACTTACACGACATCTGATATGAGGTAGCTTCCACATTCCTACTAAGGCAATCTACTGCTTTTGGCATCGTGATCTCGCCCAGCTGTTCAAAGGAAATGTTTGCATACATGCCACAATGTTTGGCTTCATCGTTGATTATCTTTGACACTGAAGTGTGCTCAGTTTCAGATATGGAAAGTCTCTCGTGGGGCTTCTTTGGCTTTCGCCATCGATGACTGCACTCTGCCTATTGTTCCAAGCTGACAGTGCGACATGTCCTACCAAATACACTTGGGTAGCTGGTTCCAAGTATATATCACATGGCAATGATTTTGTTGTTGACAGCAAAATGGGTTTGGTCGAAACCATTTAGAACACATGGTGTGAAGACTGTTCTGTTGTTCATCACAGCCATAAACTGAATAAGCATCAAACACCCAACACAAGTCTTGCATTGGCATCTGGGTGAGCTTTGTCTTCACAGTCTCGGCTGTTGAGCTCAAGTATGGTATGAACAGCTGCAGGCATCTGACTACAACCCCAACTATGTCAGTACTCTCAGAAAGCCATAAGCTGAGGGCAAGAAGGAAATTGTTCTCTGGCACATTGCCATCTTCAAGTAAGAATACCAAGCTCCCCCCATCGCATGGTTGGGTTGACTAAAGGGCTGTAGAGTAAGTGAGAGATGTTGGCCCCAACGAACAAAGCAATACTTTGTTCCTTTGCCAGCGACAAGATGGCGCATAAGAGGCACGGAGAACATGTATCTACATGGTGTGCCACCAAGCTCCACGTACCTCAAGAACTCGCTCGCTCCATCAGCAAACCGCTCAAATCGCCAGAAGGTGGTGGATCCTCTTAGCTTGTCGTCGTTACCGCTGCTAAACTTTGATGAAACAAATGACAAGGCAGTATGAGCAACCCTCTTAGGAAAGGAGGAGCTCTGTAGCCCTTGTTTCACTTCTTCCTCTTCTTGCAATCGCTGCCTGCACTTGAGCTTGCTCTGCCAATGCAGCAGTGGCACACTTGTGATGTTCCACTTGTTGGATGTCTCAAGGGCGGCTTCTAGCTTGATGTGCGCCATCTCCATCCTCTCTATGTGCTCCTTTAATTTGCATCTGACTTCTCCGCATAACCCTCCTTGATTCTTGATAAGACTTCGTTAACAGCCTCCTGGGCCACCGCACAACCGACCATCTCTGCTGCCATTAAGACTGATCAAAGCAACCTGTAGAATCGGTTGTCCTCCATCACAGAAAGAAAGCAAAATATTGCATAGATATTTGAGTCAGATTGTCCCTGTTCATCTATCTAAAATCTATGATTGATGTTGTAAACTGCAAGTGCAGACAGGAAATTGTGAACACATGGTGGAGATTTGTCCATGTGTGTGTGATGAATGATGGAAACATGTGTGAAAGGTTTGAGGCTTTCCTGGTTGACTCATATTTTATATGTGCTTGATTACGCTAATGGCTAACCAGAGGCGTTGTGTTGAGTTGTGCTGCGTTGAGTGTGTTGTGCAACATGTCTCTTGGCTTGTGGTGCGCAGGTAAGGAGCTCGAAGGCGGTGGTTGACGGCGAGGTGAAGGTCAAGTAGGGACGTGCCATGCCGATGGACTGGGAGCAGTGAAGGACGGACGTGAGGCTTGGACCGATTAACTAGGAGGCCGGGTGACTAGCCACGGTGGCTGACACTTGGGGACATCGACAAGTGCAAGAGTACATGGGTGATGAAGATGGCGTCGACCAAGTCAAGGAGGAGGACGATGGCATCGTGGCACTTGGTGGATTCTAGACACGCATCTACAAGGGAGATGTAGATGACGTCGGTCAAGTCAAGAAGGAAGGCGAAGGCGTCAAGCATGGCGGAGGTCGGACACGTGTCGACATCGGTTAGTCATGCCTGGTGAGGCGCGCACGGGGGTTTGGTGGTTTCATCCTCAAAACCATCGGAAGGGTTTGGTGGTTTCGTCCTCAAAACTATTGGAGGGGTTTGGTGGTTTCGGACTCAAAACCATCGGAGGACGGTTTGGCGGTTTGTGCCTCAAAACCATCGGCGCAAGTTTGACCGGTTTGGGCCTCAAAACCGGGGAGTGACGGATCGGCGGACACGTGGTGAGATCTTGAAGCTTGCGTTGAGGCGAAGCGATGTCGAGAAAGCGCCGGGTCCGTTGGATCGACGATGAAAAACTTGGACGGGTTTACCCCTAATGGGTATTTGGGTTGTGTGCTTCATATAATGACGTTTTTGTCTTTTTACGGGCGCCTATATATATATATATGAAGGAGCTGATTGGGCAGCTATCCTTAGGGTCACTCTCATTTGTGTGGTGTTGAGAGGAGGCTAGGGTTTGTGTTGAGTATTGGCTCTTGTTCTTGATCTTTTTGCCATGTTAGCTTTGATTTGGTTAGGAGTGGCTTGTAATCCGACATCTTGAGCTAATCCAAGATCAAATTCGTGCACCACTTTTTATCTCTAAATCTGAAGTTTTTCTTTTTCTGTGATTTCGGAGCTATTTTTGGTGATTTTTCGTTCGTCGATTTGAGGTGGTGTTGGTTCGTTCTTTTTATCTGAGATGAGTTAGGACATATGTGGAGTCTGTCTACCAAGTGATTCGAACCAATTCCACGTGAGCTCTTAGATCAGGGCGAATTTCGTTTTTTGAGAAAAACTGTGTTATTGCACGTGATCTGAGTTCACCGGAGGTAGAGCTCGAATTGAGCGACGATTTCTTAGGAGTAGCTTCTCAACTCAGTTGTGATTACCTGTGCAAATTTTGGGAACGAATGATGGATTCTTGATCGAGTTTTCTTCGAATTTGGTTGTCGCCCTCTTCTCTACTTGTTGCGTTCGGCCTCTGCTCGTGCTTTTCCCGTCGCTGCTCGTGGTACCTAGCCGCGGTTCGTAGAGCACCGATAGGAGCGCCGGTTGCCACCAGTACGCTCTGCATCTTCTGGCTTTTCGCCAAGCAAACCGACGTGCATCAGCTGTGCGTCGAGCAGATCACTGGTGGCCGGTCCTTTCAGTTTCACACACGAGCTGTCTTCCGTTCTCAGCTCTGTCTCCAGCGCCCAGCACCTGCTCCTGATGCACGCCCGTGGTGCCCAGGCCTGCCGCCCTCTCTCTCTGGTGTGCACGTTGCAGCAACAAGGCTGCTCGGCCAAGCCTGCTAATCGGCCAGGCCATCCAGACCATTCGGCCAAGCTGATTTGTACAGCAGCATTTCCTTCCTGTGCTCGATCACAACTGCATGTGAGACAACAGGTATTGTTTTTTCTTCAGTGGCAACAACAGGTTCACCACCGTATTATGGTATGTTCTTTTCAGTTCAACAACCTGGAGGTGACGATAACTAGTGCAGCAGCATTTCATTTTTATTACTTGTTAATCGTTGCTCACATCGGTGATTGATTCATTTGTTTAGCCGATTGTCATGGATCTTGCACCTGAATATTAGAAGCAACTTCATGTCTTTGTTGCTTCAGAATTCAGACCTTGCTCTTGTCTTTCTAGCACACGGCAGTAGTAGCAGCATCGGATAAATTCCATGTCTTTTGTGATGTGTCATTTTCAAGCAACAGTGAATGAACTATTCAAGTCACCATTAGCCATTCATTATTTGATTAGTTTATTTACTTTAGCTTGTTACGTGAGGGCATCTTGTGTTCTGTTCTTGCCTCCTAGTAGTACAGGAGTTGCAGCTTGGTCTTTTCAGCTTTCCAGGAGTAAGGTCATCCTGTATTTTAGTTTTTAGCCTCCTGCTAGCTGATAGTGCTTTTCAAGGCTGAAGCTTGATTTAATTGCTTTAACTGGCATGTATTACTGTAGCTCCTGGTTTAATATTTTGCATGATGTTTAGAGCTTTTGTTAGCCGGCTAATTAGCAAGTAATTTTATTCATGGCTTGTCGCTTCACTTTCGCACTGTTTGAGATATTTCAAATTGTTTCTAGGGTCGACATACCAGTTAGTGTGTGTGACCTTGCCAATTAAAAGGGAAGTGTGTTGGGTTATAATTGGGACATAGGCCAAGTTCTGGGGCGAAGAAAATTTTAATCGGCTCCCATTCACCCCCCTTTGGTCTCCGTTTGTGGTCCTTCAGAAATCAAAATCTGGTGTGGTTGAACACTTGAACTAGCTGTGTAGGGTCTCACAAGGACACCACAGCAACTTAGACACAAGAGTTGGGGAATCTATCCTGCCCAGCCGGCCAGTTGTGACCATACATATTGAGAGGTATCGTGGAAATTTATCAAGAGTGATACACACGCAGGAGGACTTTGTATCAGTGAGGTTGATGTACGGATTACATCGCAAAAACCGCCAGATCAGCAAGTGAAAGATTATATTACTTTAAGTAGACAACAAATACTGTCTGGTCAAAATGTACAGATCAAATCGTAGAGACTGTCAGAGTGGAGTGATATATATATAGACACACATTGGAAGTTAGCTAGGAAGTGTCGTGTACTACAATTCCATACACAGGACCGAGCAGTCTAGTCGACGGTGGACTAATGAACGTTGAATATATAGAAGATCTAGAGGGACACCAAAAGCAATGGACCCCAAATTTTCATCCCAATTTCAAATGTGCAAAAAATAGAAAAAATGACTGGTCAGGATGACAATAAATAAATACACGTGGGTTGAATGCAAAAATTGGACCGAGACAGAACATGGTTTACTCCGAGTGTTTTCACCCCTAGTAATAATATCCCACCGAAAGTTGGTCTACTTTATTTTTTGAGGCAAACCAGAGCGGGGAATACTAAATGTTTATTAAAAGAAGGCAAGCAATAAGTTTACAAGCGGTTCAGGAAACAAAGAAAGAATAAAGTTAGTATATTTCTTATGGTCATGTGGATACAAAATTATAAAAGGGTCACACTCAATCTCAAAGGAGTCAACCTTGACTCCTTGTATAATGCCCCTAGATCAACCTTTTGGTTGGATCCATTCCCAGTCGACTACCTCAACGACCAACAAGAACAAAAGATAGCCGCAGCAGCAACAAGAACAAAATACAGCCGCGGCCCGCCATATGTGGGAAGACTACCAAATTCTTGCTTCCTAGCACCATAAGCACAAAAAACTATCAATGAAAATAGATTGCAACCAACAAAGTTAACCCAGTTTAGATACCATACCGAAGAATAAATAGGGTCAAGATGATTTTAGAGATTTAGGGTTTGCGAGAGAAGAGCCATTAATAGCCAGTTGGGTAATTCTGCAACGATCCTTTTAGTGTTCTTTTATTTAATATCAATTTGCAGTTATCTCCTTTTAGTCCTTACAAATTAAGTAATTACATAACACGGCTTACACTTACATACACACCAAAGGAACATGCGAGATTGTCTAACAGGCAACATATAAATCGATCTGAACTAATTTTCTGTCATGACAAGCTTCCTCTAGTAGAACTTAATACCCTAATGACACATACTTAGTAACATAAAATCCTTTAGGCATTGGACATCCTGCACGATTTGATTTTCCTTGCTAAAGATCTATTATATTGCGAAGCAATCAACATGATTGGACAATCATCGACACAGGGATTATTTTTAAATAATAATGGTAGCGGCAATCGCTTTTCTTTTTGAACCCAGTCCATGACTGTGCCCTGCAAGTGGGCAGGCGCGTGGGCAACCCACGAGCTCAAGAAATCTTTGTTCGCACTTGCCCATCCCTGTACCTTCTTGCCCTGTCGTTGTTTAGGATGTTTTCCACACATGCCTCTCCTAGTGGTTAGTCCCCATGAGATTTTCTCGACATGAAGGTACGCGCCACCATGCTTGGACTTCCAAAGCATCTGATACGAGGTAGCTGCCGCACTCTCGTGAAGGCAATCTACTGCCTTTGGTATCATAAAGTCGCCCAACTGTTCAAAGCAAATTTTTGCATACAAGCCATGTTTCACGGCTGCCCCATTGATCATTTCAGTTGCCGAACCCTCGACTCCAGGTGACAAATCTTCATAAGGGGTATGGGGATAGAAATGCACTCCAAGTTTCAGATAAGGAAATTCACTCAATAAGGGGCTTGTTTTGCTTTCACCATCGGCGACTGGTCTCTGCATGTTGTTCCCAACAGACAGTGCAACATGGCCTAGCAAATACACTTGGATAACGGGTTCCAAGTATATATCACATGGCAATGATTCTGACGATGAGCTCTTGGAATTGTAGCTCTGGGAGTAGTGATGATCTTGCTGCTGGCAACAAATAGGGTTCGGTCGAACCCATTTGGACCACATGGTGTGAAGATTGTTCTGCTGTTCAACACAATGGCTAAAAACCGGATAAGCATCGGACACCCAGCATAAGTCTTGTGTTGGTACCTGAGTGAGCTTTGTCTTCACAGTCTCGACTGTTGAGCCTAAGTAAGGTATGAACAGGTGCAGGCATCCGACTGCAATCCTAACTATATCTGTACTTTCCGAAAGCCGTAAGTTGAGGGCAAGAGCAAAATCATTCTCTGGTGCACTGGTATCTTCAAGTAACAATATTAGGCCAACCTCCATCCCACGCTCTTGTAGTGAACTAAAGGGTTGTAGAAGAAATGAGAGATGTTGACCATTGCTAACAAAGCAATACTTAGTTCCTTTGCCAGTGATAAGATGGCGTATAAGAGGGTCGGAAAACATGTATCTGCGTGGTGTTCCACCAAGCTCCACGTATCTCAAGAATTCGCTCGCACCTTCTGCAAACCGTTCAAATCGCTGGGCGACAGCGGATCCCTTCAGCCCATCATCGTTACCATGACTAAAGAATAATGAAACAAACGACATGGCATTATGAGCGATCCTCTTCGGAAAGGAGGAGCTCCTTACCGCTTGCTGTACTTCTTCCTCTTCTTGCAAGCGCTGCCTACAGCTGCGCAAAGTGTTGTCGCACTCCTGTGAGGCGCGCTTGAGCTTGCTCCGCCAACGTAGCAGTGGCACGCTGGTAACGTTCCACTTGTTGGAGGTCTCAAGGGCGGCCTCCAGCTTGATGTGTGCCATCTCCATCCTCTCTATGTTCTCCTTTGCATTTGACTTGTCCTGATAACCCTCCTTGATTCTTGATAAGATTTGGTTAACAGCCTCCTGGGCCACTGCAGAACTGACCATCTGTGCAGCCATTAGGATTGATCAAAGCAACGTGTAGAACTCGACTATCCTGCATGCTCAACCGGGAAGAAAGCAAAATACTATCAGTCGATACATATAGGAGTCAGAATGTCCCTGTTCATCAGTTTTGCAAGAGCAGAGGAAATCAGAACCTGGTGAGGTTGAACTAGCTGTAGCCTGTAGGATTGCTAACTTCTGAATGTGACGATATGTAGTCCTGTTTATTTGAGGAAAAAAGGTTGCAGGGTTGTGGCCAGCACCAACATGAGTTTGTGAATCTATCCAGCCCGGCCAGCTAGTTGTATGAGGATAGACACGGAGAGGTACATTATTTGAGAGCGACATCGTGGAAATTTGTCATGAGTGATATGCACACAGGAAGACTTTGAAGACTTTGGAGTAGAGGGCAACAAGCACTGAGGTCGACACCTCTTGGAACGCGCCAGGCATGGTCCAGAATTATTCATCGCGTAGGACCAAACCAGAGTCAAAGTCGATGGTGACTAAAGGTAGAAATCTTGGCTGGAAAGCTTGGAGCAAAAAAAAAAAAAAAAAAAAAAAAAAGAACCCGAAGCTGACGGCAAGCCCGCAGCTGCGAACCTGTGTCATGGGTGTTACCACTACAAGCAGGGCCGTGAAAAAAAAATCAAGATAATAATAGAAACAAAGAAAGTTAGAAATATAACAAAAAGATTAATCCTGAATAATACATATGCCATTGAAGATTAATTCGGAGTGAGAGCAAACAAGCAAAAGACTAATTACATTAATTAACTAGGTTATTTGAGGATGTACGCTAGGGACTAACTAGAACGATGGATAGGCAATACTAAAAAGAACAAAAGAACTGGGGGAAATGTTAGGACACTGACCCGATACTAAATTGTATACATTGCTATTAGAGATTAACTAATCCATCAATTCGGACTCTCGCACGGGTTAGAATCTTAGAAGACAGTTCTATTTTTTTGAACCAAAACTGTGGGGAGAAAAAACCTATGATTTTACTGAAACCAAAAACCGAACAAGAGGCTAGTGAGAAGGTAACCAAAAAGGAAAACAACCACACAAAGACACAAAGAAAAGGAGAAGAAACATAAGAGAAGGAATATATTAAAATTTGTTTAATACCGCTAAATATTAAAAATTATTTATACTAAAATGTGTTTTTCCTCCTTACTCATTTTCTAATACAATAAACATAATAAATATTTAGGGGTTACTTTATGCTACTTTCACGAGGTAAGTAATATTGGGATTGAGGGTTACTTTAGGCAAATCTTTTATAATAATGACAAGGGTTGGTAATTTGTATACATATTTTTGGGTGTTTGTTGGTATATATTAATGTACACAGAATAATCCGCAAGCACACGGATATTATACCGATGTAGCACTTCATAGGGAGTACCTAGTTTTATATCGAACTCGAGGAAACGTGTGTGAGAATAACCAAATCTAGCTTAACCCAACTTCACAATCAAGGCTAGATAATATGAGCGTAGAGGAGATCACAAAGGTCTTCTAGTTCTAACTTCGGTAAGCTCTGTCTTCTATTGTTTAGTTCTAGGGATATTATTAGAGAAAACACAGGCATAGTATGTTTCCTATAGCAACAATGTCCTGCTAGGCCTACTAACGAGAGGTGGACTACAAAGGATTCAACGAGGCTATAAGAGTCACCCTCACAATCTACTACCGATCCGGAAAGTAGGGTACATCCATGAGTAATCGAGTCTAAGCACCACGCTTACACTACGAATACTACTTTAATCTAGGAGCTACAACGATTAAAGTACTCAAAAGAGAGTCGCAAACCTGAAGAACAATATGAACAAGATGCTTACTTGAATTAGAAGTCGATTACCAGAGAAATCTCATAAACAAGCTCAAGAAGAACTTGATTCTGCTAGGGTACAAGCCGTAGAGAGAGCACCGACAGGTCAGGACTCCTTCGAAGCTCTTCCCTCTCACTCTATCTCTCTATCTCTAATACAAGACTAGATCCTATGAAGGACTAATCTTCTCTTGATTGCTAGCTCTGACCCTGGTGAAAATATAAATTAGGGTTTCTGGCCCTCAAGCTCTTAGGATCAAATGCATGGCATATACCCCAGAGGGGGTGTAACACCCTCGGTGTTACGCCTTAATCAAAATACTAAACCATGTCATGAGCATCATGTTTATGTATTATTGCATGTGGTAAATGAGAAATTATATTTTATTGCACTAATTCTCAAATTGAGCTCTAATTTATTCTTTGTCCAAGTTGTCCTTCCGGCACGTCATCTCTCTCCACGTGAGAGCTCCTTAGCCACAAAGTCAAATGATAAATTATTGTCATTCACTAATTATTAGCATACCACTTGGCAAGATTTATATCTCCATCAATCTCGCGACGCGCCTCTGTCATCTCTCGTTGTTCTAATTATCCCGCCTTTACTTCGCTTGCTAATCACCTTGCAAAATTATCAGTGCACGACGCGCTATCACTGCCATAGTGTGTCGCACACGCTACGCATTAATCCCACTCACAAGTTCGACCGGCGAGCATGCCGCTCGCTCACTACTCTGCAAACACGGTGCACGCACCCTTTCCTCACGCGCACTGTAGCAGCAGGAGTTTCAAGATGTCAGAACGGTACCAGAGCAAATTTTCAACACGACAGAACTGCATCAGCGCAGAAGGTACTGTTCACACGTGGAAAAACATTGTAGCTCCGAAGGAAACACTGTATCACCGTGGAAAACACTGTTCACCCGAGCAAACACGTCGTTCCCGCGGCATTTTATTGCCTTTAAGCAAGCTAGTTAGCCACTAATCTTACGACGCGTTGCTGTCGCGCCTTTGCTTCTCCATTTCCTGCGTCTCCTGTCTTTAAAAGGGACACGCCGAGCCGCCGAGCCATCTCGCTCCGCTGCTCACTTGTTTCGTCCTCTCAAATCAAGTTCTTCTGTTCTTGCCCGAGAGAGCTGCGTCTATCGATTTCTCCCCGAGCTACAATCAGCTGAGGTAGCTAGTTTACAATTGATCTTCTTATTCTCTAATGTTTCCTTGACCTGTGGTCTCCTCCTCCATTAATTCCTTGACCTGCATGAATGAACCAAAGACCCCACCGCCAAGCACGCTTCATTTCAAAGCCCACTCCGATCTGATGTGCTCGTAAGTCCAAGACCACTCAAAGTTCATTCTTGAATTAATTCTGTCATGACCAAAGACCACACCACAAGACACGGCATGGAGCCGAGGACAACCCTGCCAACTCGTTTCGTGCTTCTAGACTACCTAGCTTGTCATGACCACCCACAACCAAATGCTATATATGGTTCTGCTCCGCTCCACGTGGGGCAAGCAATTGCTAAGCTCCTGGTGTCTCTCATCTTGCATTGCCTCCAAGACATCGATCACCACCGGGAGGCACTTCATTCAATTCCGAGGTAGTTAGCCTACAAGAATTCCTTCATCCTCCTCTATTATTTTACGGACCCATGGTCTCATCTAGTATTTCTAGACCCACAGTCATGTGCAAGTCATCAAGTCCAATAGCATGATTATCCTTCTCCAATAATATCATTTTCTTCATCTCTAGAGCTCATTTGAATTTATTTATTGATTGTGAAATAAATTTTGTTAGATTACTAAATTCATGATCTATCTGTTAGTGTAATTAGTTCGTATAGTTCAGTGATACCTTTAGGGTTACTTTATTATTTTGAAATGCTTATTATGGTTATTTAGAGAATGAATTTTTATGATGCATGGTAGCTAGTGCACCCTATTTTATTATATATATAGTAAATTGATATTAACAATAAGGATGCCTTTAGTTGCTAAGATAATACATGAAATGTTTCATACTTGTTTAGTGGGAATAATAGGTAACTTTGTGTATTAGTCATTAGAGTTAGCTTAGTAGCTTGGTAGATGTATTCTTATTTTAAGAGTTGCGGTTGCCTATATATTAATTATTGCATCATCATCACTGCATGCATATAGAGGATGAGCCACTGGAGATCGTGACATTCGGCGAGCAGGAGTACGACGAAGTCATCGAAGAGTACGAGGAGATCCTCGTGCAGGAGGACGTTCCGGAGCCACCCGTCACTGACTTTGCTGACACCGCGCCTGCCCAAGGCAAGCCCCGGTGCATAACCCCTATTTTTAAATGATCTGAATATATTTATATGATATGCATTTACGTTACAGGCATTTTATGGAAGCTACATGCATAAATATATCCACCATGAGTCCTACTAGTATAGGTCGAGTAGCTGCTATGCTCAGGATGTCGGTAGCGTGAGTAACCTGTCGTTACTACTCAAAAGAGGTGTTTAAACTGTGATATCATGATGAAATAATGGAAAGGAAAATGGTGACCGGACAGGGATGTGGATTTGGTACTGGTGGGTGTGAGGGGTTGTGTCCTGCGGCCAACAGGGCATAGCCCGGTTACACTTTTTCCCTGCCTGTGTCGATTAAGGACCGGTCGTTGCATATGACTCTAGGCAAGTCACATATTATTGTCCCGAGCACATACTTGGGTATGGGCGCAGGGAAGGCTTGCTGCTCTCTTGTCGCGGATCCGGCTCTTTCCGGACCGACTGATGGGAAGAGGAGGTGGTGGAGGTCCTTGCACCGCACTGAGTCCGGGACTCAGGATGTGGGGGCTTGGAGTCCAAGTTTGGACGGGGACCTGGACACCCGGGATAGGAGAGTGGTGGGTTAGTCCTGCTTGTGCCTGGGGTACAAGCGGGGCGTGTGTCTTCGGGGCACCCAGCTGGGCACATTGATTCGCGAATCGCCGGGTTATCCGGTATGGCTTGTCTGCGGTTTAGCACCGTAGTAAGAACTGAAAGTTGAAAGGAGAAGAAATGGAACTGATTGCTCAACTCTTGCTTGAAAGTAGAACAGGCTTATATAGATTGACTAGATGAAAACTTAATACGGCTGATGATAATAATGTATCAATAAGGACTCACTATTAGTATTGCTTTTTGCTAAAAGAGAACCA